CTTGCTCCTACTGGGGGCCACTACCTATGCCCTCCAATCCTCTGAGTCACCTCCTCCATGCCCTCACTGGAGACCTCAGGTATGGCCTCTGATAGAATCATGAAATCTCAGAATTGAAGACCTAGGATCATAGAATTCTAGAATCTGAAATTTGGAAGGGACAATTGAGGGTATTAGCCTGATTCTTTCCCAGTGCAGGAATCCCCTCTGCAGAAGGGTCTTTCCCTTCTTCTCATATCAGCCCCATCCCAGTGGGAAGCCGGATTCCGAATGGGAGGAGTCCCTTGTGAATTCTGCCCTCTGGGTATTACCAGACCATACCCCCAGGGCTTCATCAGTGTGTATGCCTCAGGAGTAAGAAGAAACAGTGTGGGCATGGAGGGTGCACTGGGGGACGGTCCCCAAGGGGTTTGATTGAAGACTTTTAGTGGCCCAGAGTCTAGTCCTTGGGTTGACCCTATCCTATGGCTCAGCCCTATGCTAGACACATGAGCAAAGCCTCCTCACACCTTTGCCCAGCAGAGGAGATGCCAGCTGTGGCACAGATGGCACTCATCTGGGCATGTGATTGGGTAATGGTTGGATGACATAATAGGGAATGCTCAGATATGTTGACCTCTGTGGTCTTTCTCCCTTCATGATTAAGAAACCTGCCAGCCCCTCAGGGCCAGAGCCACTGGGTTGGGAGAGAAGAACTGAGTATGTGTTCACCATGCATCTGTTAGTGGCCAGGGCTACGTGATCTAGGCCTGGAGTTGGGGGCTTGGTCAACTAATGGTGACTGCTTGGCATCTGAGGCCCTAGCCCAATGACATCATCCTAGAATCGTAAGTTCTTGGTTCCAGTAAATGGGGTGAGAATGGGGATGGCTCAGGGCAGCTTCTCCCTGTTGCTAGAAGATTGCATCTGAGCACAAAACCCCCTTGGCATCTTTCTCGTGTTAAAAGGCCAGCTGGGAAATCTGGAGCAAACCTCCCTTCTTCCATCTGGCTGCAGGTGCTGAACGAGGATGGGTACTCCTCTACCATCAAGGACAAGATTCTCACAATTGATGTGAAACCTGGTTGGAGGCAGGGCACACGGATCACCTTTGAGAAGGAAGGGGACCAGGTGAGAAGGAGGGAACTGACTAGGGTCAGTCCTAGTGTCAGTCACCCAGCCTTGCTCATGTGGTGGAAAGACTGAGGGGGAAGGAGGCAATGCTTTCCTCTGCCCCCTGACCCCAGTCTAGTAGGGAGACCAGTCTGCAGAGTCGGTGAAATGATCCCCAAAGTCCCTTACCAGGGACAGAGCCTCACAACACCTCTGTGAGTGGATAGCCCAGGGCTTTCCCCCATTTTGCAGAGTAGGAAACTGAGGCCCAGAAAGGGTAGGGATTTGGCCAGGGCAAGAGCACAAGAGCTCTTCCTGATTTTCTTCAGTGCTTCTTGAATAAAGCCCAACTATAGGAGGTATTCAGAAACCACTTATTAATAATAATTTTAATACTGCTTAATATCTTCATGATAATTACTTATTTAAATAAAAATATAAAATTATTGTTCAAGGCATGCTGTATCCTGAGGTCTGAGAAGAGGCAGAGTGATGGCATTTTCAGAGCCAAGAGAGATTAATTCCTCTGCCCATACTTCTTGCTCCCTTTCTCACCTGTGAAACATCTACTTCCAAAACACCCCTTCAGGACCCAGCTCTAATGCTCTGGGCTCTGGGCAGCCTCCCCTGACCTCTCCACCTGGCTCAGGGCCTCTCTAATCTCCTGCCTCTGGGTTCCTTTTACCACAGTCCTGAGCATGCTGAGGACGGTGTGTCTGTTCCCCCCACTAGACTGGGAGCTTCTTGCTTGTAGGGACCAGTTAGGCTCCTCTGCCCCCTTAAGAGACCTTAGCAGAAACTTGTCAGGACAGAGGTGTGTAAGAAGTTGTTTTCAAAACTTGCAGCTCAGCATTTTACCCACCCCCTGAGGAAGCTTCTGTCCCTCTCCACCTGAGTGAATCCTGTTGGGCATGCTCCATAGAGGAGAAGTAATGGGGGGGGGGGGGGGGGGGGGGGTGGTGGTGCTGGATTCATTGGAGTAGGCTTCTCAGAGGAGGGGCTATGAAACCAAACTGAAAAGGTCCTTCCAGAAAACCTAGTTCAATCTCTTCATTGTTCAGAAGAAGACATGGAGACCAGTAGAGTCAGGAACTTAGCCAATATCACACAGCCGATTAGTCCTTGTCACCCCTTGCCTCCTCTGCCCAGGGCCCCAACATTATCCCAGCCGACATCATCTTCATTGTAAAGGAGAAGCTACACCCTCGCTTCCGCAGGGAGAATGACAACCTCCTTTTTGTGAATCCCATTCCCTTGGGCAAGGTGAGTGGGCAAAGTGGAGGAGGAGAAGTGGGCAGATGAGAGTGAGCAAGCAGGCCTCACTCTGCACTCCCCCCAGTGCCTATGGCGCAGGCCTTCAGAACGTGAGGAGTGCACATAGAATCTTTGTGGCTGTCTTCAGGGCCCCTCCATGTCCTCACAATCCAAACAAGGAACAGCACCAGCCTAGACTTTGCCTCCCCTCCCCCACCCTACCTGTGGGCAGTTACTCTGTCAATTCTACCACCTAGTCCCAGAGTCAGAGTCTGAGCACCTGGGTCTGCACAGCAGCCCCTTTGGTGGCCTTCCTGCCTCCTTTCCCATCTCCTCTAGGCTCTTCCCCATGCTCATCTGACTGTGCCACACGCCTGTCGGAGCATCTTCACAAGGTGTTTAAGGCCCTCCACATTCTGCCTCTGCTGATCTCATCCCCTGCACTCCAACCACTGTGCCCCTGTCCATTGGGAGCATTTTCCCACCTCCATTCTCTTGTTTGTGCTGGGCCGTCTGTGTGGAATGCTGTATATCCACCTTGTCTGACTGGCAGGATCCTCTTCACCCTCATCAACTGCTACCACCACTGTGTAGTCCTCCTGTCCCACTCCACATTGGTTTGGGGGCCTCTCCTTGGCTCCCGCAGACCCCTTTACTTCCCTCTATCATCATCAGTCTTTCCTACCAGACCGTGAACTCCTAAGGGCAGGCAGATGCCTGGCTCGCTCCCCTGTTAGTCCCTGAACATCCTTTTGTCTGCTTGAGGCCAGGCCCAGGGCCTGGCACCGAATAAGCTCATAAAATGCCTTCTAAACAGAATGGCCATGGTTATCTCTCCTACTCCCACCTGTGGCCCTAACGTCCCTAGGCTCTGACCTGCTGCACCGTGGAGGTGAAGACCTTGGATGATCGTCTGCTCAACATCCCCATCAATGACATTATCCAGTGAGTGCATCTGCGTGGGTCCCAGTAGGCAGAAGGGCTGGCCTGGGCCTTAGAGGGTAGTGCCAGACAGGTCAGCCTGGGGTAGTTCAGTCCTCACCAGCAAGGACTGAAATCCAGCCCTAACTCTGGCCAAGCTGCATTCACCTGGTAAATGGAGTGCCTTTTTCTAACTTGCACGAGGCCGCTACAGAGCCCAAAGATTGCAGAGGCGACCTTTGTTGCCTTCCTCCTCCCGAATGTCTCATTAGTGTTCTGAGTTGTAGCCCTCAAGTCCTTTACAGGAAAGGGCCTCTGTATGGGAAGCTTTACTCAGCAGCCCAGCACCCCCCCCCCGACCCCAACCTAGGCTGGAACCTCTATTCCTGGAACCTCCAGTGTAAATGGTTATCAGGGGGCAGGCTGTCTGAATAAGCTGGTCTTCTCTCTCCTGCCACACGATTCTGGCTGAGAAGAGCCACCTGGTGGAAGCTGGACTGACTGCCTCAAGCCTGAGGTTGTGTGAGCATGGGCAGCATGGGATCTGTCAGAGAGCAGTGTTGGGGGGCCCTCTCATTTCCCTTCTTTCATCCTCCCCTGTCTCAGTCCCAAGTACTTCAAGAAGGTGCCAGGTGAGGGGATGCCACTGCCTGAGGACCCCACTAAGAAAGGGGATCTCTTCATCTTCTTCGACATCCAGTTCCCCACTCGCCTCACACCCCAAAAGAAACAGATGCTGCGCCAGGCATTGCTGACATAACTCTGGTGAGCTGAGGGCTGGAGCAGAGGAGGGGAGGAGAAGGCCAGCTGGGCCTTATCCCATTCCTGTCCCAGGATGTGCAGGTGAGCCAGCCCACTGCACAGATGTGACATGAGGATGGGACAGCCTGGGGTTTTTAAACTGACACAATAAAGATTTCCTATCTTCCAACTGTACCCAGGAGACTGTTTTGGAGGGAGAGGAGCCTCATATATTGCTTCTTGTGGAAAAGGGGGAGGGGCATGGCCCAGAAAGCCTAGAACCTGGGTTCCTGTCCAGATTTTTTAAGTGTGGCCAGGTCCCTGAAGGTTCGGAGCCTGTGTGCTCCCCTTGATAGAGTGGGGCAGACCTGAGTGACCTCTGTGGGTCCCCACCCTGCTCTGATTTCTCATGACACAAAGTCTTTAGCAGGGGCAGTCTCTAGAATGTGATATGGTCATAGTGTAGATAGGAAGCACAGAGAAGAAAACACTCGTCAAGGCCACACAAGGCAAAGATGTCATCAGAACCTTGAAGGCCACTTCCCAGATTCACCCTGCTTAGAGGTAGCACAAAGGACACAGTGCTGGAAATGGTTTTGGTTTCTACCTCGCAGCCTCACTTCTCATCTATGCAGTGGGTCCTGGACTGACTCTAGGTGGGGTGGTATGGGAGGCAGAACTGGGTTCTGCTCCTGGCCCTGCCACTGACCCCCCTGGATGTTACTGCTTATAAGCCTCCTGCAGGCTGCTTATGAGAATTGAGTCATTGTGGTGAACATGCTTGGTGAATTCACTGCTTAGATCTCAGGGTTCCAGGGTTGTTGCTGATGCGGCCTCCAGACCCAGCTGGGCCTATGCAGACCACACTTGCTTTCCTGACCTGCATTCCATCAGTCAACAACAGTGTGGCATGCACCTCTCCTGTGCCAGGGCAAAGACTCCTCTCTTTCAAGTCTGGGTTTGGGCTAGGATAGATCTAATCTTATGAGTACGTGGCCACTTTTGTGGAATGACTTCAGAGGTAATAGAAAAGGCCCCCATATTGTCCATATTGGATTCCCCCGTTCAAAACATTCTTTGCTCAAGGTTTTTTCTTTCTTTCTTTCTTGAACATGGGGCTTGAATTCACAACCCTGAGATCAAGACCTAAGTGGAGATTGAGAGTCATACGCTTCACCGACTGAGCCACCCAGGCACCCCTTAACGTTTTTTCTTAAATGGGGACTGGGTAGCACCTGTCAGCCATTTTGAAATCATCAGGGAAAATGTGGCAGGAGCCAACTTTGAGACATGGAGTCTGGACCAGGGTTCTAGGAAGCACCTGTGCAGCCCGTAAGACATGTAGGCCTTGGAGTCAGATACACCTCAGTTGTATGCTCTTTGGCAAATCACTTTGCCTTTCTGAACCTGTTTCTTATAGCAAAGATTGCAAGCCTGATCTTGCAGGCCTTCAGGAAACCAAATGAGGAGTGAAGCCGACTCTGCCCTGAGGCACGGCCTAGGTGGAAGAGTGGTGGTAGCTGCCCTGTGCTGAGAGCAAGTGGGTGCAAATCCTAGCACCCAGGTCTCCTCTAAGCCAGTAGGAAAGCCTGCCTCTAGCCTCTTCCTCATGGCAATAATCTGAAGGAAGCGTGGTCTTAGGCCTGATGAAAGATCTTTGTGAAATTCCTATTACCTTGGTGATCTTCAGTGCTACCTCATCTGGCAGGCAAGGCAGGGCCTGTCATATGTCCATTTTATAAGCTGTGAGGACCAGTTATTAGTGAGGCTACTGGTAATGTTGTTCCATGGTTCCTGCCACCTGCCCCAGCTCCTCACTGTCCCAGGATCATGCCCAGAACCATGATGGAGTCTGGTGGCCTTGTGTCCAAGTGTCTGGGACACAAGACTGATAAACGAATCAGATGACTGACATGCCTAAGGCAACAAATTGGCCCGGTTTCCTCTGGTATAAAACAGTAGCCTGCTTTATAGGACTAGTGTGAGAATTAAGGTGTATGAAGTGCATTGACCAGGTCGGTCCTCCATTTATGTTGACTCCCTGCAGCCCAGGAGAGCAGGCCCACTGGGCTGCCTACCACCTTCGCCTTGGCTCACCTTGTGGCACCCATCCCCGTTCCTCTTGGGGACTATGAGACCCCAGCTCAATTTGTCAGATGTTACAAAGTACGGTGAGGAATCCTGGGCCCTCTTTCCTTCTCCAGGACTCTCATTTCCTGGACCCCTTGCCAAAGCTCTGAAGGGCTGAGCCTCCAGCTCTGACCAATGGGGAGGAGCAGTAGCATCAGCTGCTTGAGGCTGTGGGAAGAGGGAGACCACATTCTCTGAGCCTGGCTCTACAGCTGTTTGACATTCTGAAGGACTCCAGCTCTGGTCCCTGGTGAAGAGGCACAGTGGGGGAGAAAGGAGTCTGAGTCCTAGTCCCAGACTTCAGTTTCTTTCAATAGCTATAAAATGAGCCTGGGTGGCTTAATTCTAAGGGCCTGCTTCTGCATGAGATGCCTCAGGATTCTGGGACTTCAGAGTCCCCTACCCCTTGAAACAGATATAGAATCTGCTTTCCTGCCTCTGTGGACAGCTGGTAGGAACAGGGACAGGGAGGCTGACACCCTGTGCAGCCTAAGCCCTGGTTTGGCACTGCCTCCTTGGGATCTCCAGCCTAGGGAGAGGGTGAGTGTCCAAATGAAAGTATCCTCAGACTGAGGCCTCATATTTTCCTTGCACCCTGTCCCACCCAGTGCAGTAAGAATGCCACCTAAGGGTGTGACTGTGGAGGATGAGAAGCAGCCAGACTTGTCCTCATGAGGTCTGGGACTTTGGACAGGAAGTTTCCCATTTGTAGAATGGAATAAAAGAAGTTCACAGCATCTAAGATTCCCAAGTTCCTCTAAATCTTCCACTGAACAAGGAGATGTCGGGCAGACAGTAGTACACTAATTTTGCAGATCAGTAGGCCTGGGGCCAGCTGGAGCACCAGGCACTGGGTGAGTGGAAGCTCAAGTGTCCTAGTGAGAGCGAAGCTGTGACTCCCAGCTGCTCCCTCACTTACCACCTAAGCCCCAGGCCTGGTCTGGAAAGACAAATGAACT